GTTACACAACTGCCATTTTGAGTTATGAAAGTTACAGAGAAAAGAGGCAGCTATTCCTTTGCAGTAAAAGCTGAAGAAGCTAGTAAACAACAAAGGCAGTTAAGATATAGCTAAAGAAAGTCATGTCAGTTAGAAGAGCATTGAGAGTATAACATAGCTTTTAATAAAATAATGAAATACAAGCAAAAAATGGTATTTGCAGAGAAGGTTTCAGCATCAACTCTGACTGTGCCATAAGCTCCACCTGTAAGTCAAAGCCCTGTACTGAAGCCCATCTCACCCTACCTGGCTTAGCAATATGAATCCTGTACCACCATAAAGCCAACCCTCACTCTACAAAGTGACCGGGGAGCCAACACACAGGCCAGACTGTACCTTTACACCATGGACTGGCAAACTTTACTGTACTTAACTGCTGCTTGGCAATATCCTTTATGACAAGTACTACCTGACAGACAGATTCTGCCCCAGATCCCTTTCCTGCAGGTCCCTCACTGAGCCACTTGAGACAGCCTTAGGGAATAGAAAGCCACTGGCACAATTGCCCAGTCCTTACCCATGCAATCTGATTTCTATATGTTACAGGAGTTGGCTGGCTGACAGTTTTCAACTGTGTACTGGCAAGTTTTGCACACTTTCCAACATAAAACACAAACCCCAAGAATGTGCTCCTAATTATCCATGATAACCCCCGGACTGTAGTGTGCATGCCCTTATATACAATACACCCCCAGAGGGTGCCTGTAAGTTACAGAAATACACAAATCAATAGTATCTTATTGGAATTCACATGTCCAGCAAGAAAGGCCTACACTTTGTGACACAGCTAGAAACTGTCTCCTGTTCATGGGTAGAAAGTAGATGGGAACATGGGTCAGATCCCTTGTGCATATCATGGGTGCATCACTGGTATCTGCATATCAGAAAGAGTTAAACTGAAAGTGATCCCATATCCATGGGTGCCATAAGCAGTGATGAACTTCCAGTTAAGTGGAGAAGCTATGAAATGGCACCGATTTGGCATTCGGCATGAGTGGAAAAGGAATGCAACTTACATATATAGGCCTCAGGGAAAGAAGGTGCAGCTCCACTGAAGTCAGCAGGAGTTATACATGTTTACATCAAGACTGAACTTACCCCATTGATTTGGGGAAAAGTACACACATACCTTCTTCATGGCTGTTAGCTGCTCTTTTCAAATCCCTGCCCTTCCCATTCTTGTGATGTACAAGTTATGCTCATTTTGTGTGCCAGCTACCTGCCCAAGCAGTGCATATTATACTGCATTGCCATTTACACCTGTTTTCTGACACTATTGGGCCACCAGGACCTCCTCAAGCACAGTGCCCACCAGTGCATCAACAAATGCATATTGTTAGCAGGAGGCTGCTACACCCTGCAGAATAAGCCCAGTCCTTTTGCTTCATTACTCACTGGCCTGGAGCTCTGTCAACACCTCCTTGTTGTCAGGGTCAAGCTCGTCACGAAATGTCCGGCACCGATAGCCCTTTTTCTTCAGGACATGGCAAATCAGGAAGCCCACAAGCCCCATGATGAAGAAGACCAGCACGAGCAGGAAGAGCATGTACAAGCTGTGCTGGGGATCTGCCTCCCCATCATCGGTGCTGTTCTGGTCTGACATATGGATCTAGGAGACAGCAGAGAAGATGGCTCAGAGCCTCATGCACTGGCACACTCTCTTTGGCCATTCTGGTCCTTGCTGTCCTGCCACTACTGGACTGGGGCAAAGGAAACATCCTGTTCTTTCTCCACTGGGTTTGCAATGCTCCATTTGACTGGTACAGCCATTCAGAGAAGCAGCTTGGCATTTCTGAGGAGCCAACATCAGGAACTGAGCCTGGGAAAGCCATATTCTGTCCCTAAGGGGGGATTTACACAGGGGGCATCACCCCAGCTGCTGGCACCATAGGAAAGGTGGGACACAAGAAGGAAGAGGCTCCAGTGCAGCCACCTCCAGGGGGGTGCCCACCTCCGTCTGTATCTTGTCATTTTCTACCGGGTGCCTTCTCTCTCCTGGCAGCTGAGGTTTCCCAAGGACATCACCAGCCCCACACCCCCCATCTCCAGCTCTGGCTCCCTGCAGAGCAACTGCCCCCTCCCAACGGCACGGGTCCCGCTCTCCGCTCCTGTCCGCAGCCCGGAGGCAAGGCACGCTGCTGCCTGCTGCCCCTGCCTGGGACCGAGTGACCCCAGGCTCCTCTCCCCGCGGCCACTGCAGCCACCCGCTTTGCCTGGCTCTGGCGAATGCCCAGCAGAGTACTCACAGCCGGCGGACAGGGCCTCAGATGCCAAAGTCAAAAGCCCAGGGAGGGGTCAGAGCGGCGGCCGCCGGCGC